GACTCCATGCTTCTTGGTACATAAGTTCCCCAGTACTTATGTTTACTGGCCACTCTGTTCCCAGGTATCTGTGTTTACTGGTACGTAAGTTTACCAGACCCTTTGTTTATAGGTACCTATGTTTACCGGTACCTACGTTTAACAGCCTTTTTGTTCCCAGGTACCTGTTTACTAGAACCTATATTTACCGGTATGTATGTCTATTGGTACGTAGTTTTCCAGACCTTCTCTATGTTTACTAAAACCTCTGATTATCAGTACCTATGTCTACTGGAACCTGTTTACTGGTACCTATGTTTACCAGACAGTTTGTTCATAGGTATCTCTTTATTGGTACCTATGTTTACTGGCCTCTTTGTTCCCAKGTATCTATGTTTACCGGTAGCTACAGTATGTTCACAGAACCTGACATTTATCATTAACCACGGGACAAACACATGTTCTGTGGAACATAGGGATGACCCTAACATAAGGAACATGTAGGAGGCAGACAACAGAAAACCAAGACTTGTGGCACAGCTGATATGATAATAATAGCAACCCCACAAAACTAGTTGGACTTGTCAATATATTTTATTTACAGCGGTATAAACAAGATAACTTAAAGCAACATCTTCACTGAAAAAAATGTAAGAAAACCAAGCTTCTCCTCCTGTGTGTGCGTGTTGGTGTGTCGATGCATGCCGTGTGTCATTGTAACATTCTCAGCTTCGAAACAAGTGCAGAAAAACCWGCTCGTCTATACGGAACCAGGATTTATTTTACATTTCATTCAGTTTAAGTGCTTCACACGGCCGTACAAACAAACTAAAGCACTGGTTTCAACACGTAAGCATGCATGGGTATAAGTGAGGCTATGTGGGGGTGGGGGAGATTGCCTTTTTCTTTTAACAAAAAAACAGATTTGTGGGATAATCGGCAAGTCTTAAGTGACGTCGTTGGGGTAGCTCATTGGTAAATTGGCCTACATTTTTTTAGAGTTTCGTTTTGGGAGACTGTTCGGCGTAAAGTGCAGTGCAGTGCCGTGACTCAGGAGAGGACATGAGCTCAGAAACAGCGGTGGTTTCTCATCTCCGGGAAAAACTGGGAAACGGCCCGTTTTTAGCRCCCAACCGGGACCTGCGGGCAGGCCGCCKTGATCGCAGCTTTCAGCTCACTCCGGGTCCTCCGGGCAAAAGCTCTCGATGGGGGAAGGTTTTGCACGAAAGACCGAGAGCTGGTTGGGTGTAAAAACCTGGCCCTTTGATGCAACCCCTTCCAAGGCTGGAAATGAGAAAGACTACTGCTGCTGCAGGAAAGAGGATCAGACGAGTCCCCAAAAAAAGGCCTTTTTTTATTACCAAACTAATGCAACACAATGCTAATTATCATTATTTATTCTTATAAATAGTAGTCCAAGCTACTGATTACACTTAAAATAACCGCCTTTGGCAAGCTAGTGCAAAATGAAAGGGATGGATATAGAATTTCAACATTTACAGAATCTCCTATAAAGCCTAAAAAGTGACATTATCATTCAAATACATAAAGCTGTTCTTCATATACAAGCACACACATGCTTTTCTTCATGTATACAAGGCAAACCATCATTTTAGTGCTATCGTAGTGCTTCCCAATAAAGATTTTTTCCCTAAAAATGTTTAAAGTGTCGATAAAAACACATAGTTCCTATTAAAAAT